GCACACCACACCTTCACCGCAGGAGCCATAACCCTACACCTTTCATCACCTGGTATCGGTTTCAGATTTATCCATACACCATCTACCTCCTTACCCTCTGGTTCCAAACCTCTTACCATTAACTTACCTTCTAATGGCAGATTCAAACTTTCACACAAATCTTCACTAATGCAACAAACCTCCGCTCCGCTATCAATCAGAGCCTTCCGATTTAGTGTATCGTTCAGCATCACATCAACGTACGACCTTTCATAAAACTTGTCCGCCTGTATGACCCTTGGCACTTTCCCTTGTTGACTCGCATTCGTTATGACGTGTAGCCATTTCGGTTTTGAAGTAACCTCGCGTTTAAGAATACGTTTTGTCGGTTGATGTCGGTTTTCGGTTACAAAATCTTGCGATATGCCCTGACGTATTACATCTGTAGCACCGGTCCTCTCTTCTGGCATCATTGGACACGTTTTTATAAACAACGGAAGGTGGTCGCGTTGTTGCCGTTGGTTGGCTGGACATCTTCATATTCAATTCGTGACGTCGACTGTTTTTGCTAAAACCTCATAATCCATCCAGTCGTCCATTTCTTGGGTTAACACGAATTCTAACACGTTTTTCTGAAGAAGTTCCTTCAGGCGGTTGGCGCAAATCAAATTTACCACACTTTGAAATGAATCGACTTCACGATTTTGTAAGTAAAACTGAAGCGTGTTGTGCAGTCGATGAGCGAACATAACAAACGACTCCTCCTTCTGTCTCCGCATTGCAAAAAATTCATCTCGCAAACGAACGGGGTTAATACGATATTCTCGAAGTAAATGTTGTTTTACCTTCGCATAATCTCGCATGTCTTCTCCACTGAGGTTATCAAGCCAGGACTTCATTCCATCATTTAAATTCATCATTAATAAATTCGCCCTAATGTCCCAATCCACATCATGGTTATCGAAAATCTTTTCTATTCGGACAAAATATGCTGGTACATCTCTGATGTCTGTCGGACATGGCCCCAACAAATGTTTCAACGATTTGGCGAAAAAGTTAGTCCGTTCTATGGCCCGAAGTGCAGTGTTAGAAGGGGTTTCCCGTGTTTGTTGAGCACGCAGTTCAAGTTCCTTCAACCGAAATTCATGATCTCGAAGACTCGCTTCCCTCAGTCTCTCATCAGTTCTACGCATTTTCTCCAGTTTTGTCTCCGCTTCTAACCTTTTGATATCATATGATTCAGCGACACCTTCACCGTCTGTCGTCGCCCCCGCCACCTTCGACCTTGTCTGCCGTTCCATATTACCTTACCAAAATAATTATAAATTGCTACAATTATACCAACTTGTTTTGTCGTTGAAGTCTTCACGTACACACTCAATATTCTTTTTTGTGTGAACCCCACTTCTGGTACCAAATGTAAGGGTTCGTTCTTTAACTTTTATTATTAATTCAACTTCGCAACAAGAACAAGTACGAATTTCAAGAACAAGTAACAATTTCTCTATTACAACGTAAAATACAGTTTGTAATGTAAGGCAATTAACAATAATTAATAACCGACGTTATGAGTCAATATCTCTAATTAATTAATTATAACGTTTTAGAGTCAATATCTCTGTATATATATATATATATAATTTACAATTCGTCGGTTCACGAATTTACCACTTCACGAATTCGCCAATTTTTCCTTCTGTTCACAAATTCGCCAATTAGCCTGTTCCAGCACTAATTCTGATATCACACGTAATATTACAAAGTTCGAGTCTCCACGTCTCACGTAATATACTTCCGAGACTCCACGATAACTCTCGCGATGATAATAATTCCTGAACTGAAATTCTGAGCCTTCCCCGCGCTTTTATACACTTTTTTAACTTGCAATCCCCACGGCCACGAGATATTATTCACTTGTTTACTGGTTATTGAATTAAATCGTATAGCGCTACACTGAACCCTGACAATCATCACTAGCATCATCATCATAAACATCATCATCACTAACATCATCATCATCACAAACATCATCATCATTAACATCGTCATCACTAGCATCATCATCACAAACGTCATCTCCATCACAATCATCACACATGACAATGGCAACAGGCATACAGAAGCTGGAAGAGGCATCGAAGCTGATCCAACAGTCAATCGAATCAAACAAGGGGGTCTTCACTGTTAAGATGGCGGTCAGTGTCGATGAGTGTGAATGCGTTGTGGGTGAGGACGTGTGATGAGGATGATGATGGCGAAGAAGGAGGGATGATGGAAATGAGGAGGGGGAGGAAGAGAGATGGAAAATATAGATGGGGTGGTGGTGGTGGTGGTGGTAGAGGAAGAAAGAAAATGATGAGGGTGGGGTGTGGCTGGGTGGCAGTTTGCTTTAGTAAGAAAAATGTTCATTTTTTCATTAATTTATTTTTCACTAATCATTCGTTGCATTTAACATTTTTTTCCATTTTAACCTGTCTTTCCTGCTGTTCATCCCTCATTCTATTTATCCGTCCGCTCGTATCTATCTATCTATTCATCCATCCAGAATCCATCCATGTTACCCATCAACTAATCCATTCATCAACCTATCTATCGATTCGTCCGTCCATCAACCAATCCATCCATCCATCAACCAATTCATCCATCCATCCATCAACCCACGCAGCCGAAAGTTGTTTCTGACATTGAGGAACTGGAACTGGCCGAACGCATGGAGCGATTGAAGAGACAGAATGAAGAAATCAGTGGAGATGAGAACAGCAGCGACGAGGATGAGGAGGAGGAGGAGGAGGGGGGTGGTAAGGAAGGGGGTGCTGCCAGCAAGGTTCAGAGGGATAAGAAGAAGAAGAAGAACGTTGAAGGGACTGCTGGTGGTGGTGATGATGATGACGACGATGATGATGATGATGATGATGACGTCATCATGAAAGATGTCGGCAAAAAGATTGCAAATGGTGGCGTGAATGCCGATGATGATGACGACGACGGGGACGATTAGGATTGATGCTGTTGCATGCATGTAAGAAATTTAATCTTTGTTATCATTATATTTTATTATGATTATTATTATTATCATTAGTATACATTAGTGCCGTTCATCTTGTGACTTATATTTTTTTTTGTTTGGAGATTGCGAGGTAATGATTAATAAAGCGATTGTGCACCGAGATCTTATTACTGCAGTGTTTGTTGTTTGCTGTTGCTCTTCGTTGTTGTTGTTTTTGCTGTTGTTGTTTGCTGTTGCTGTTGTTGTTTTTTTCCGTTTGTTGTCTGTGGGGAGTGTGATGGTTTGTGTAATTGGGTGGTGGTCGCTTGTTGATGTTGTTGATCACATAATTTTCACGAGACGAAACGTTTATTATCGGGTTTCACTGGTTCTCATCGTTCTTAATATGTTGAATATTTGTTTAGTTTTGAATTGTTTTAGTTTTCAGCGAAATAAATTATTAATCAAGAAATTATTTATTTAATTTATTGCAATTGTTGAGATTTTCATTTGACGGTCAGACGTTCGGTTGCAGTCTGCACCGTCTCTTGGAAGTGGTACTCCTGATGCCATTGCATACGGTCCTTTCTTCTTCCCCAACGATCGATCAATTGAATGTCATCGTTAACCTAAGCGTTATTATGAGCTGGAATTGAAACAAGGTGGTGGGGTGGGGTGTTTTGTCCGGAAACTTATTTTTCTGATTTCGTTTCTTTACCGGTGCTTCTGAGCTGCTTTGGTGGAAAGTTTTTTCTAAGTTTGTTTGTTGTCCTCGCTCCTTCGCTTGTTACTTCAGTCATGTTATCAGTGCTAGTGCAGGTTGAAAACGGAGAGTCGGAGATTTTATATGCGACACCTACTTTGGCTGGGAACGAAAGATTATTTAACATTTAATGGAGGATGGACAGGGAGGGTCCTGTTGAAAGGATGACTTGACTCACCAGAAAGTGACGATTGATCACTCTTATAGATGGAAACAACAATCCTTAAACATTGAAACTCCGTGACAGACTTGATGTTCATCCAATATGATAGGTACAGAAGAGAAAGTGCCAACATGAGTGAACAAGCAAGGTGCACAACTGTGTGCACGCCTGAATTTTTATAGAAGGATTACGTGAGGTGAGATGCTAGCGTACGGTGTACGTTCTCTACTACCATGTTCAATATTTTCATTTCGGTTTTTTTCCTGGTTATAATTTCGCACACAAATTATATGTGTGGTGTGTGTGTGATTGTGATTTTGCGTGTTTTACAAATGTGTTTTGAACATCTTTCTGAAATCTAATATTTTCAATTTTTTTGAGTAAAAGCAATTAAACTTCAAATTCACGCGCGCAAACACACACACACACACACACACATATATATATATATATATATATATATATATATATATATATATATATATATATGGATAGTGTGTATATGTGTGTTGTAGGCGTTTTTATGTGTTTACGTATGCTTATAATACCGATGATAAATTGAATAAATGAAATAAACAATGAATTTGATTACGTGATATAAATTGTTGATGTAAATGTTTGCGTCCAGCGCTTCTGAAGTCAGGGAGGCCCATGCAATTCATGGAATCATATTATACAAATGTATGTTTGTGCGTGATTTCGAGTGCTTTGCGAAGGGTGTGTTGAAATTTCTCATCAGCTGGCAGGTAGGTGGTTAACAACTTTCGACTGGTTTCGTCGAATGTTTATCATCAACTCCATTAAACGACTGACGTCATCGTCGGTGTTCCATCCACATGCTACGAAACTGCACTGTCAGGGGAATTAACTTAACGTGTACGTCTTGCTCCTTGTGCAGAATCCACATGTCGTTTTGAACAATGTTGATGCACAAACACACATAGTAGGTATTTTCTTAGTGCACATTCACCCACATGTATCTACTGGGACGCATATATATATACACATATGTATATATATATATGTATATATATATATATATATATATATATATATAAGGACGGGAGAGACAAGTGTTCTTGCGATCTTTAGTACTGTTCCTCCTAATTAACTTACACGAGTTTTTTCCGTCAAGTGTTTTCGTTTTTACCGATCACTTACACGTCAACTGAACTTTACACTTGCGATACAACAGGCGATACACATGCGATACGCATGCGATACACATGCGACAAAATTTTAGCGACAATCTCGGTTTCATGATTGTTAAAAAGAAAAAAAAATTGTTAAAAATAATTGATAATTAAAAATTATTAAAAAAATTGTTAAAAAAATTCAACTTTATCACGAATGTTTAACCAAACCAAATAATACATTTAATTTATTATTATTATTCTGGTTAGCCTATTGTCGTTAGAAGTGCCACGTCTTGCAATGTTGTTACGCGATAAGCTGGTTCGAATACAACTTGTCCAAAACTCAAAGATCCGCTTGCATACAAAATGTTTGTCGTCTGGCTTGGCTTTTATAGTTTTTGTAGGTTTGGGCATGTGCGTTTAGCTACAAATAATTATTACAGAAAGATGTGTATGCTTGTCGGATCTGCATAATAAAGAAAAAAATATTCAAGGTACCTCCTACCTGCCTGCTGACAGATTTCAGCCAATATTATATATGCGTTTTTCTGCAGTTTACGAATATCGATCGCTACAGCTTATCCATTCAACTTAAACATCTGGTGCCTGGACTGAGTTATGTAATTGTTTGTTGGTCATATTCATTCTTTTATTTTTATTTAGGTTGAAACACATCAAATATTTCAAATTCCTTTGTAGAATATTAGAAACGGATTTTTAAAATCTAGATGTCTATATAAATTATAAATATATATATATATGTATATATATATATATATATATATATATATATATATATGCTGGTAAAGGTGAAAGATCATAATTAATGCAGTAATTTATGAAATCTACCAAATTTCTAGCGTTTTTTAATACATTTCTCAATATTTCGAACCAAATTCTTGTCGTCATTTAAAACTATCCAACGCTAGAAATTCTAAGCTACTGCATTCTTTTATGGGGAACAGTCCAAAATGTCATTTTTACTATCTAATTTTGTCTCAAAAACCAAGTGTCCAACTTCTTTCTGACCTCAAACCTTTTTCACATACAAACCCTACTTTATTAAACATAAAATTTTTATTTATTTTTGCTCAATATTTGTATTTAAATTTTTAAATAATTTGCTTCCAAAAACATTTTTTAATTTTTATACACAAAGCAATTTATTTAAGACTTACGTCACAAGACATACTCTTCGCCACCGCCTTCTAAGCCTGATGTTCATACCTGTCTTCAGTTTAATTTAATAATTATTAATTTCGTCAAAGAACTGACTTGATATTTTCTGGTTTTTGTTCTTTTTTTTCTTTACGTACTTTAAGCCGTAGTTACGGGTGGCCTATCCACTAGCAAACATTGTTAACTTATTTTGGCTTTCTTTTAAATAAAAGAAATGAAAAATGAAATATATATATATATATATATATATATATATATATCGTTTGGTGTCCCCCAGGGATCTCTGTTGGGATCTCTGTTGTTTCTTATGTACACTGCTGATGTTTTTGATATCATTCGAAAATATGAGTTCAGCTCCTACGCCTTTACTGATGATATTCAGTTATTGGCATCTTGTCCTGTTGATTCGATTGAAGCTTCTCTGATTAAACTGATTGATTGTATTATCGAAATTAGTTCTTGGATGAGTATGAATCAATAAAAGTTAAATCAATCTAAGACAAAAATATTACCGGTTGGTTCATGGCAGCAGCTGTCAAAGT